CGTGGGGGGCGCTATGGGGCATGGGGGGGAGCCGTGGGGGGCGCTATGGGGCGAGGGGGGGAGCCGTGGGACCGGCCCGGGGGGGCGCTATGGGACGGGGAGGGAGCCGTGGGGCTGGCGGGAAGGGGCCCCCGGCGCATGCCGCGGGCCGGGCCCAGTAGGCGTTGGTGGGCCCCGGTCCTGCCCGTTTTCCCCGGCTTGGTCCCGGCCCGGCCCCGCCCCCACCTTGCTTGTTCTCGTTGAGCTGCCGCTCGAACTCGTCGAAGTCGGACATCGCGGCCTCTGCCTCGCTCCCGCACAGGCCGCGGCGCCTCCCGCTCGGCCACTTCCGCCCCACGCTCGGGGATTTCCGCCACCCCTCGGCCCCTTCCGCCCGGCGCTCGGGGATTTCCGCCGTCGCTCGGCCCCTTCCGCCCGGCGCTCGGGGATTTCCGCCGTCGCTCGGCCCCTTCCGCCCCGCGCTTGGGGATCTCCAGGCACCGCTGCTCGGAGACTCCGCCCACGCCCGGATCGCGGCTTCGGGGAGTTCCGTCAGCTCTTCGGCTCCGTCCCCTCCTCCCAGCCCTTCTCGACGCCGCTTCGGCTGTTTCCGGAGACGGGGGGGCGCAGGCTTCGGCTCTTTCCGCCTCCGCGAAGAAGGAAAGAACGCAGACTGTGGGGGAGGGGCCAGCAATCGAGCACTTCCGGGTGGGGGCCGGAAATGGCGTAAGAGGGCAAAGGGCAATCACTCCCAGCCCCATAAATCCCCCCTGCGCCCCCCAACTGCCCTAGAGTCCTTCAGCCCCCCGTGAGACCCCCCACATTGCTCCACAGCCCCCCACGTGACTACACTCAACTCCCTATAGCCACCACTGAGTTCCCCAGTGACCCCCAGCCCCCATTGCTGCCCTTGCCCCACAACCCCCTATTGACATTGTTTCTCCCCCAGCCGGGCCCCCAACACCCACCCCACTAAATCCGGGTCCGCCCCTCCAGCCAGGCCCCCCAACACCCACCCCACTAAATCCGGGTCCGCCCCTCCAGCCAGGCCCCCCAACACCCACCCCACTAAATCCGGGTCCGCCCCTCCAGCCAGTCCCCCAACACCCACCCCACTAAATCCGGGTCCGCCCCTCCAGCCAGGCCCCCAACACCCACCCCACTAAATCCGGGTCCGCCCCTCTAGCCAGGCCCCCATTTGCATTGAAAGAGCTGCCCTCCAGTGCGCGGGTGCCTGTGATTCCAGCAGCAGGGTGCGCCCCAAAGGGGCTGTGGGCCTGGTTTTCGTGTGTTCCCTTTCCCACCAGAGTCGCCAGGCAACTGATGCCCAGGACATGGCCAGAAATGTGGGGGTGGATGGGATGCAGCGTTCTGAAGCTCCCCCTTACAGATGGATGGCAAGAGGCTGTGGAATCGAGCGTTCTTGCTGGGCCCCTTCGCACCAGGCGCTGTCTGAATGTCACGGAGGAGGTAAACCCTGCACCAAGTGTAGGGAAGAACAGGAGGACAACTGGTCCCAGGTGCCTGTAATTAATAAGCCCTGGGGCCACAAAATCATGACAAGCCCACTACACCCCATTCCTCTCCCAGAGCTGGGGAGAGAACCCAGGAGTCTTGACTCCCCAGCCCCCTACTCTACTCCGCTCCCCTGGTGACAGAACGCAGGAGTCCTGGCTCCCAGCCCACCCTGCTCTAACCACTAGACCCCACTCCCCTCCCAGAGCTGGGGAGAGAACCCAGGAGTCCTGGCTCCCAGCCCTTCCTGCTCTAACCAATAGCCCTCACTCCCAGAGCTGGGGAGAGAACCTAGGATCTCTGTTCAGTATGACCCCGCCCTTCCTCCTTCCATATAGGATGGATTCAGCCACCCACTCCGAAATACCAGCATCTCACCCTAGGGACACAATCCAAGGGGCTGGAGAACTCCTCTGGGATAGGTGGGGGGTTCCTGAGCTCCAGAGGGGATTCTGGGCCATGGCACAGAAAGGGGAAGGTGGGTGTAGGGCATCCCTGGTCAGGGATGGTCTGGGCCCAGCCATGCCGTGCGTGTTCACAGCCTCAGTTAATCTTTGCTCCAGCCCCTTTCAGTGGGTCTCCCTGCCCCCTGCTCCACTGGCCCCACAAGAGGAGGGTGGGCCGATAGTGCCCCTTAGGGACAGAGGATCAGACCTATGCGACCATCTAGCCTGGTATTGCGTCGGCTTTGCACAAGATCACACCCATGGGCTCTCTCTGTGCCAGGCATGGGCTCCCTGTAAAAAACAGCCCTGCACCTGACCCCAGAGGGGCCACATCTCAGTGCCAGGTGAGGAGTCCCCATCTTAACAGCTCCTGCCCCAGAGGGGCCATGTCTAGCACCAGGTGAGGGATCCCTGTATAAACAGCTCCCGTGCCCCACCTGAGAGGGGCCATATCTCAGCCCCATGTGAGGGGTTCCTGTATAGAGCCCCCTACCCCAGAGGTGGTTGCATTTCCGCACAGGGCAAGGGGTTCCTGTATAAACAGCCCCCACACCCATCCTACCCCAGAGGCAGCTATTCTTAGGCCCAAGGGAAACGAAAGGTTTTGATAATTAAATGAGACTCAGGCCTTGATTTATTCCAAATTTTCATCTTTTTTTAATTTAAATTCTATTAATAAATTGATTTTTTTTGTAGATTTTTTTTCTTTTCTGGTTTTTTTTTTTAAACATAGAGAGGGCATGAAAGAACAGGCACAGTGGAGAAGAGAGTTTGTTACACTGAATAAAAAGGGCCATCCCGGCCACGCTGCCGCATACAGCCCCTTGCACTCACACACACATACAGGCCTGGCGGCTCAGGGCCACAGTTGGGGGAGGGGAAATTACCCCCGAAAACAGGGAGTGAAGTGAATCAATGACAACCCCTGTGAGTGGGGCGGGATGGAGGACCCAATCTGGCGCTTCTATTGGTGCCAGGCGGGGCAGATGGAGTAGGAACCCCAAATTGCCCTTGGCATGGGAGGGGGGTGCTCCTGCCCTGCTGAGGAGAGGGAGGAGTCCGCAAGCAATGGAGCGGAGTGTGGGGAGGATGGGGAGCATGGGGGTCAGGTTTGGTTTCTAAGCAATATGGAATGGCAGGGGGGCATCTGTATGTGGAACAGATCAAAGGGGGCAGTTCAGGGCAAGGCAGGCAGTTGGGTCCAGAATCGGGACCCCAAGTTGGAGACATAGCCAGGGCAGCTATTGACCAATCAGCACAACCCCCTGCAGCCTGTTTGGCCAATCAGCTCAGCTGCCCCCACTCCGCCCCATAACTTTAACAGGACTGTAGAACCTAGGGGTGAAATTGACAAGCTGGGTCAGGATCAGAGCTGGTGCCCCCTGGAGGGGACAGGCCCCATACCTCATTCCCCGCTCCCCTGAGTGAGCCAGTCAGTTCCTGCCCAGCCAGGTGGGAGCTGGCGCCCCCTAGAGGGGACAGGCCCTGTTTCCCATTCCCAACCCCCTTGAGCCAGCCAGTCCATGGGGTTCAGATCGGAGCAGGTGCCCCCAAGAAGGGAAAGGCCCCATGTCCCACCCCCCAGAGTCATAGAGGTCTGTTCAGGCCTAATTTTTAGGCCGGAAGTGGACCCGAGCCCAAGAGGGTTAAATAGTTTCCCAACCTGACCCCACCCCTTCCTCCAATACCAGCTCCCACCCGTGGGGCCGGCCCCCCTCCCCCCCCCCCTCCCCCTCCCATGGCCCATTCCCACAACACAGCCAGACTGCCTCACGGGCAGGAGACCCAGGCATTTTCCTACCTGACCCAACTCCCAGAGTCTGGTCCAGCCAGCCCCGCCCCACCCATGTCACCAGAACCCCTTGAGCCACAAGAAAGCACCCAGCTCATGGCCCCTTGCGTTAACCCCTCGGCTAGCACCAGCCCAGCCCCTGCTATCACAGCCCTCCTACCCCAGGACAGGGGTGTGGGAATGGGCCTTGGAGAGCCACGCCCCAATGCCAACCTCTCCTCCCTGCTCTAACCAATAGACTCCGCTCCTGCCCCAGAGCCGGGGAGAGAACCCAGGTGTCCTGGCTCAGCTGTGCTGAGACCAGCAGGTGGTGTGCACAGAAAGAGGGAGGAATTAAGCCATTATCACACGGTGGGATGGAGAGATTTGGCAAGGGGTGGTTGCAGATCACAGGGAGAGGGCACTGGCAGAGGGATGGGACAGGCGAAGGAGCAAGCTGAAGTGGCAGAAGTGCGGGGTTCGATGGTAGCAGGGGTTCGGGGGAGTCTGTTGGAGAAGGGCAGGGTCCCACCATTGTCTGAAGCAATAGCGGGTGGGCAGCAGTGCCAGGGGGTTGGTACCAGGGGCGATGGTGGGAGGGGTGGGATCATGTGCAGTACGGGTGGGATGTCACATTACTCCCAGAAGTGATAGGTGATGGGCAGCAGTGTGGGATAGGGTCCTAGTCCCATCATTGCTTGAAGCAAGAGGTGATCTGGGGGGCAATATTTGTGGTAGCTGTGGGAGGGGGTGTCCCAGGGGGGCAGTAGTGTTTTTTGGGGGGGAGGGAAGGTGTCCTATCACTGCTTGAGGTGATGGGCAGCAGGGATTGGGTACGTATTTGTGTCAACCATGGGATAGGGTGTTTCTAGGGGCCCCAGGGGGGCGGTGTGTGTGTCAATGATGGCATAGGCTGGTTCGAGGGAGTCCCGGGGGCACGCTTTGGTGTCAGCAGTATGATAGGCAGGTTCGTGGGATGACAGATGCTGTGGGGTGGGGGCAGCATTGGTGAGATAAGCCAGTTCAAGGGAGTCCTAGGGGACAGCGTGGGAATAGGCCAATTCACGGGGTGACAGATCCCAGGGGATGAGGGCGGCATTGGTGGGAGAAGTGGGATAGGACGGTTTGAGGGGTCCCAGGGCAGCACTGGTGTCGAGGTGGGATAGGGTGGTTTGAGGGAGTCCCGGGGGCAGTGTTAATGTCAGCCGTGGGACAGGGCGGTCCAAGGGGATCCTGGGAGCAGAGTTGGCATCAGCAGTGGGATAGGCCAGTTCGAGGGAGTCCTGGAGGGTCAGTGTTGGTGGAAGAGTGGGATAGGGTGGTTTACAGGGATCCCAGGGGGCAGCGTTGGCGTCAGCTGTGGGAGCGGGCAGGATGACGAACTCAGGGGGCAGGCAGTGTTGGTATCAGCCGTGGGATAGGGTGGTCCAAGGGGGTCCTGCGGGCAGTGTTGGTATCAGCCGTGGGATAGGGTGGTCCAAGGGGGTCCTGCGGGCAGTGTTGGTATCAGCCGTGGGATAGGGTGGCTTGAGGGCGTCCCAGGGGGCAGCACTGGTGGTGGCAGTGGGATAGGGCGGTTTGCAGGGTGACGGGTCCCAGGGTGGGGGGCAGCAGGGGGCCCCATCACCGCTTGAAGCGGTAGGTGATGGGCAGCAGCAGCTTGCTCTTCTTGAGGGCCTGCACCTTCTTGAGGGTCTCGTCGTCCAGCGCCAGGAAGCAGCGGCGCGAGTACTCCAGCAGCCGCTCCTTGGACGGGTCAAACTCGCCCACCTCAGCCAGCTTCTCAGGCGCCACAATGAGCAGCTCGGCGATGGGCGTGGTCAGCGCCACCGTGTTGCGATCCACCCGGTGGTGCTCGAAGGCCCGGCTCATGCTCTTCAGCTTCTGGAAGGTGTTGAGGATCTTCTTGTAGCGGCATAGCACCCCGTCGGCATCCTTGACTGTCGGGCGGGCCGCGGCAAGAGCAAGAAGGAAGGGACGGGACGGGGAGATGGCGGCGGGGAGGGATGGAGGGGGACAGTGGGCAGAGGACAGAGGGGGGCAGAAAGGCCAAGGAGAGAAGAGCCTGTTCATTCCTTCCCTTTGACACAGACTCCCCCACAGCCCCCTCAGGAGGACCTGCCCCCACCCCAAAGCCTCCCGCCCCCCATAGCCCCTCCCAGTGAGTCCTCCCCCGACATGGCGCTCCACCCCACCCACGCCAGACCCCTCTTCTTCCCCACACCGCACCCCACAGCCCCCTGCCTCCTCCCTCTTCCCCACCCCATGACACATGCCCCTCCCCACACCCCGCGCTCCCCACAGCCCCTTCCTCCCCACACACCCCTGCCTCCTCCCAGCTCCGCACCCCATGGCACACGCTGAGCCCACAGCTCCCTCCTCCCTACACCACACCCTACAGCCATATCCTGCCTCTTCCCCGCTCCCCACCCCACTCCACACGGCCCCCTACAGCTCCCTCCTCCCCACACCCCACCCCACAGCCCTCTTCCTCCCCCGAGGGCCGCCCGGGGTGGGACACTAGCCCTGCTGCCCACGCAGGCCGGGGCCGCGCCCCCTGAAGAACCCCGCTCACCTCGCTGGCGCTCACGGGCCTTGGGCTTGCCGAAGCGCCGCCGGCTCACCCCCCCCTTCTGCTTCTGCTTCTTCCGCTCGGCGGAGCCACCCTGCTCCGAGGCGGCACTGAGCGAGGATGCCAGGCTCTCGTTGTCCGTGGCCTCGCCGGGCCGGCTCTCTGCCGCCTCTGCCCGCCGCGGGGGCTGCTTGCTGCGGCAGTGATCCTCTGGGGGGGCAGAGACGGGGTCCCAGCATGCACCTCAACGAAGCCCCCACCCCCGGCCCCGCCGTGTCAGTGAACTGACCCCCGCCCAAGCTCTTCTGGCTGCTGGTTGGGAGATACGGCATCCCCTAGGGGCTGCCCATGGACGGGATAAAAGCCCTACCACACCTGCTGCCCCTCTGGAGCGGGGAGGTGGGACCTGGGATCGGGGGAAATGGGGACACGGGGGCTGTTCCCCCATCTAGTGCCCCAACACCCCCTCGGGCTCCTAAAGTCACTGCAGGGGGGCAAAGGGACCCAGAGCTGGGGAAGGGACCCAGGAGTCCTGTCTCCCAGCCCCCCCGTGTTCTAACCACTGGGCACCACTCCCCTCCCCCTGCCAGAGAAGGGACCCAGGCGTCCTGCCCCGCTCACCAGCGTCCACCTTGGCGGAGGAGATGAACTTGTCAAGCTGGCAGCGCAGAAAGTCCCGCTCCTCCTCCAGGTCCTCGATGCGCTTCTGCAGCCAGGAGTTGCGCTCCAGGGCCATGTGCAGCTGGGTCTTCATGCTGCTCATCAGCGCCAGGGCGGGCGGGGGCGGCTCCGGCAGCTCTGCGGGGGATGGGGGGGACGTGGGCAGGGAGCACCACCTGACCCCCCTGGAACCCCCCCCCGAAATGGGACCTTGGTCCCCCTGACAGGACCCTGACCCTCGCTGGCTCCACCCCACCCGCCACTCAACCCACTGACAGGGCCCCACTGCCCCTGGTGGCCTCCCCCCACCACTATGCCCCCTCTTTTCTTCCTTGTCCCCCCCCTTCTTCCCCAGCCCCCCTCCAAAAAACAAGCCCTCCAGGCCTGGATTCCACCCCACATCCCAACTGAACCCCCACCCAAACTTAACACCTCCCATCTCCCCGCTCCCCTGGAAGTGAGGGTACAGGGCAGTCTCTGGGGGTGGGGGCATGGGGTAGAGGTGCGGGGGGGTCCGTGGTGCAGGGAGGGCTACCTTCGAAGTTGCTCTGGGGGGGGCTGAGGCTGTAGAAGATCTGGGGCTCTAGGTGGGGTGTCTCCTCAAAGGGGATGGAGATCTCGTAGGCCTCATCGTCCTTCTTCACTGCAGGAAGAGACGTGTCACGGGGGGACCCCAAAAGCAGCCCTCCACATGGGAAAGCCCCCCGGAACCTCTGTCCCACCCCCCGCACAGGCTGGAGCCCCCCCTCGACAGGCCCGGCCCAGACCCTACTCCAACAGGGCAAGGACCCCTCCCCACAACAACCCCCCCTCTATACCCTGGGACTCCCCTACCCCCAGGGAAAGGTCACCCCAAAACCTGACTGCAAGCCACTGCTTCCCCCCCCCCGGATCATATCCCCAACCGGCTCCACTGCTCCTCCCCCACAGATACCCCCTCAGCTTTGACATGCCCCAGCTCCCTTTCACCCCCAGAAGTCCCTTCCCCCGAGCCCCAGCTCTGATGTGCCCCTCCCCAGTACCCCCCTCTCGCCCCTAATGCTCCCCAGCTCTGTGGGGGCCTGGCTCTGGGGCGCCCCCTGTTGCACGCGCCCTGCATACTCGTCCGCCTCCGGTTATTCCTCTCGGTCATTTTCCTTCCGTCCTGGCGCCCCGGCCTGGCGGGCCCCTGGCTGCCCTCTGGGCACCGCACAGGGACGCTGACGAGAGAGAGAAGGGAGGTTTTAACCCCGGGCAGCCACTACCCACCCCAGAGAATCGCCACCCATAACCCCCCCGGGCAGCCCGCTACCCAGGGCTGGCTCCAGCTTTTTTGCTGCCGCAAGCGGCAAAAAACCCAAAAAACCTGACCGCCAAACACGGGGGCGGAGTGATGGGGCGACCGAAGAAGAGTCCACGCCACCGAATTCTTGCCGCCGCCGAGGGCGGATTGCCGCCCCAGAGCCCGACATCCTGCCGCCCCTTTACATTTGTCGTCCCAGGCACCTGCTTGGTTCGCTGGGGCCTGGAGCCGGCCCTGCTGCTACCCATAACCCCCGGGGCAGCCGCCACCCATAACCCCGTGGGGCAACCACTACCTGCTCTAGAGAACCCCTACCTACAACCCCCCGGGGCAGCCCCCACCCATAGCCCCCCGGGGCAGCTGCTACCCATAGCCCCCCGGGGCAACCCCTGCCCATAACCCTCCCACCCAGTAACCGCTACCCATAACCACCCCCGCCCCCACCCCGGGACAGCTCCTACCCATAACCCCCAGGGGCTGCAGCTACCTATAGCCCCGTGGGGCAACCACTACCTGCTCTAGAGAGCCCCTACTCACAACCCCCCGGGGCAGCCATTACCCATAACCCCCCGGGACAGCTGCCACCCATAACCCCAGAAAGCGCATACCTATAGCCCCCCAGGGCAGCTGCCACCCATAACAACCCTACCCACAGCCCCTCAGGGCCTCCCCCATGTGAACCCACCGTGCCCCAGAGCTAGCAGTAGCTGCCTCAGGCTGGCTATGCCCAGAACCAGGTGCCAATCACCCACCGGACTTGGGGAAATCCAAGGGGGGGGGCACAGCCTGGCTCCCCACAACAGGCGCTGTGCTGGGAGAGGCTGAGGTTGCTTGAGAGTGACCCCTCATAGTCCCGGTGGGAACTGCCCTTGGACCCTCCCCACCAGCCAGCCAGGGACCTACCTGAGACGGACGGGCCGTGCGGGCAGCCCAGCTCCGAACCCGTCCTGCGCCACCCGCCAGCCAGCCCTGGAGGAGGAAGAAGAGATGCACGCGGTCAGGCCACTTCTCTGGGAGCAGGACTCGAACCTGCCACCTGCTGAGCCACGCAGATGCTGCTGCATGGGATCAGAGGGCAAGGCCAGGAGCAAAGCCAATTTGTGGGGGTTCGTGAAAGGAAGGGGAGGGCTGGGGGTCAGGACTCCTGGGTTCTATTCCTAGCTCTGAGAGGGAAGTAAGCTCTAGTGATTAGAGGAGGGGAGACTGGGAGCCAGGACTCCTGGGTTCTATCCCTGGCTCTGGAAAGGGAGCGCGGTCCAGTGGTTACAGCGGCGGGGCTGGGAGCCAGGACTCCTGGGTTCTACTCCTTAGTTCAACACCTAGTCAGCAGTAAACTTCCCAGGAGGAGAGGCAATAGCTCCAGGCACCCTAGTCCCCTAAACTGGAGGATAATCCCCCTCCACCACACACTATGGGTGCTATGAGACATGGATGAGCATGCGTAATCTCAGCTAGCAGAGTCACACATGCAACAACACACATTGCCAAGAACTCCTGGCCTTGACCGCCCACATTGTCCAGAACCCCCCAACTTACCTATCCCCCCCCCCCCCACCTGGACTCCCAGAGATCAGCAAGAATTTTAGGACATGGGGGATGGGCATTTCCACCTTGAAGCAGCCAACATCACAGCCCCTCCCGCTACAAACACCCCCAAGTGTTTCTTCAGTCCCATGCCCCCCACCCAAAATTCAAGACCCCAGTCCTATACATCAAATCCAGGGCCCCCCATAACCCTCCAGTCCTGTACATCAGATCCAGGACCCCCTAAATCCCCCCAGTCCTGTACATCATATCCACAGCCCCCCAGTCCTGTAAATCAGATCCAGCACCCACTCCCAGCCTCCCAGTCCTGTACATAAGACCCAGGGCCCCCCACGGCCCCCCCATCCTGTACATCAGATCCAGGGCCCCCCCAGAATCCCCCAGTCCTGTACCACAGATCTAGGACCCCCCCAAACCCCCCAGTCCTGTACATAAAATCCAGGGCCCCCCACAACCCTCCAGTCCTGTACATCAGACCCAGGACCCCCCACAGCATCCCAGGCCTGTACATCAGACCCAGCCCCCCCCCCTCGCGTCCTGTACATCAGATCCAGCCCCCCCCCCATGCGTCCTGTACATCAGATCCAGGACCCCCACAACCCTCCAGTCCTGTACATCAGATCCTGGGTCCCCCATTGCCCCCCAAACTTTCAGATCGACTATAACCCCCGCCCACCCACGTCTAAACTCCTGGTCCCAGCCCTCCCCCCCGCCCGATTCCGTCGAGCGCCCCAAAATGCGGGGAAATCGCCCTAAAAATGGCTTCTGTTCCCCTCCCCCCGCCGCTGGGTGTTTTGCTGTGAAGCTGTAATAACTCGGCTGCTCCCAGTCCGGATTGCTGGGGCGGTTTGCAAAGGAGATGGGGCCGGACGGAAAGCCGGGGGGGGGATACATAGTATCCCCCATCCACCCCCACCCCTACCCCCCTAAAATGGATACAAAATAGACCCACAGCAAAGAGACTTCCCCCCCTGGCCCCAGGGCTGGGGGGGATCGGGGGGGGCTTCAAAGGGAGGGGGTGCACGGGGGGTCTGGGGGTCTGCAGAGAACAACCCCCCCATCCCCACTCACCCAGATCTGCACGCGAACCCCCAGCAACCAGGCTGCAAAGCCAGCCCCCCCCCCTCCCTGGCAGAGCCAGGGAGCGTCTGCAAAGCGCCGCCGGGGGGGGATCGCCCACGCACGCAGGCAGACACGCGTGGGGGTGGGCTGTGCCAGAGGGAGCAGCGGGGAGCGACACACACCCCACTAGGGCCCAGCCTCTCCCCCAGCAATTTCCCCTGGGGGGACTGACGGGGGAGGGTAAGAGGCTTGGAGAGAGAGACTCAGACACCCCATAGACACCCCTCTAACCTCACCAGGCACAGCCATCAACCACCCCCAAACCCCCTCCATCAGCTACCCCCAAATCCCTCCATCTGCCATCCCCAACCCCATCCATCAGCCACCCCCAAATCCGTCCATCTGCCCTCCCCCAACCCCCTCCATCATCCATCTACCCCAACCCCTCCATCAGCTACCCCAAATCCCCTCCATTATCCCCCCAACCCCTCCATCAGCCACTCCCAAACCCCCTCCATCGTCCATCGTCCATCCCCAACCCCCTCCATCAGCCACCCTCACACTCTCTCCATCAGCCACCCCAACCCCCTCCATCATCCATCCATCCACCCCAACCCAACCCGCTTCATCATCCCTCCCCCAACCCCCTCCATCATCCATCCACCCCAACCCCCTCCATCAGCCACCCCAACCCCCTTCATCAGCCAACCCCAAACTCCCTCCATCATCCCTCCCCCAGCCCACTCCATCATCCATCCCACCCCCCAACCCCCTCCATCAGCCACCCCCCAACCCCCTCCATCAGCCACCCCCAGCTCTGTCCATCATCCTGAGGTCCCTTCCAACCCTGATATTCTATGATTGGTCCATGCACCCCCCACCCATCTAACCGAGCGATCCTCTATCTGCCCACACGGGGGGGCTGTTTCTCGCTTCTTCCCCGCTTCCCATGCTACTTTCCGCCACTGGAAAAGCGCGACTCTTCAGCGACGGCCCCTTCAGGCTCCCGCCCCGCCCAGCCACACTGTCAGGGAGCGAGGCGTAGTTCCCCAGCCGGATGGGAGGCGAAGGGAAACGGATCAGTAAGGGTGGGGGGTGCTCATGGCTGGGGGGGCAGGGGCTGCTGTCACGCTCAGCGAGTTAATGTCCCCCAGCTTCTCCCTCGGGGGGCGGGTCTCAGCTGCCTGCCCCCCCTCAAAGGGAAAAGGGGGGAGGTGAGCCTAGCCTGGGAGTTAGGGAGCATCTGCAAAGTGTGAGATTATTTAGGGAGCAGCCCTGCAGGTGCCCCTCACTCCCGACCTGCAGCCCCTGCCAGCCCAGCCCTGGGCTCCCCACCCCCACAAGCTCTGCCATTGCCTAGCCCTAGCCCCTAGCCCACAGCCCCCTGCTAGCCCGGCCTGGGCTGCCCCAAAGCACAATCCCGCAATATCTCTCTGGAACACACCAGCCATGCAAGGGCAAGACCCCCCCACACCCACACAGGCAGCCCCTCCCCACTGCCCTGGGGCACCCCAGTGAGGGACTCTCCGTTTTGCTGGCCAGTTGAGTCACTGGCCTGAACTGGCCAAAGAGAGCCGCTCAGGCTGGCTTTGTGGTGAGGGACCCCCTGAGCCAGCCAGTCCCTGCCCTGGGGCCGGATGGGAGCCAGCGCCCCCTAGAGGAGAAAGGCCCTGAGCCCCATTCCCAGCCCCCCTAAGCCACCCTGGGCCAGCCCCTAGGGGGGAAAGGCCCCATTCCCTGCCCAGGGGGTGGGGAAATAGATGCCTTTGTAAAGAGTTTTTGTCGGGACTACTTTATACCAAGAGGCGGCAGAAGACAGCGATAGCGGGTCCAGGGGCAGCGATTCTAGACTTGCCAGTACAGGCCCTGCAGCGGCGCTGAGCGGGCAGATGTGCCATCCCAACCCGTCCTTAGCCACTACATACAGAGCCGGGGAATCCGCCACCTGCCACTCATCCCCGCGGGTTAGACCGGTCATGTGACCCGCAAAGAACAGTGACCCCCCATTCCCCCTCCAGCCCCCGCACCTGATACCCAGCCCCCGCCCTGCCACCCTGCATCAGCTCATGCTGGGGCTTGTTATCCGGGGACCCCCTCGCCTGAAGCTGGGATGTGGCCCCTCTGGAGTGGGGCACGGGGCTGGGTATAAGGGGTTCAGAGTCACTTGCAAGTACAGATACAATTTGGGCCCCAAACTCCCCACAAATTGTGCCACCCTTTTAAGCACCTTCTCTAGTTCCAAGGCCAAGCCTCTGTATTTAAATGCTGCCCCAAGGAGCCCAGTTAGCTCTCATTAGTCAGGGAGCGGATAAAGGGGTGGGGTAAAGGGGTGGGGCGTCCCTAGTTCCCCTGTCTGACTGCCAGAGACCCCCATCGCGCCAGGAATAAATCAGTAGGGCTGAAAAGTGGGTGGGTGGGTGTATTCCCTGCCAACCCCTGCTGGAGGGGCTGGATCCTGCTCTGTGTTTCAGAGAGAGCCATGCTGCACCAATGGCTGCAATCAGAACCAAGCTCCCCCATCTCTGTCCTGCCCCCTATAGTGCTCCTGGCTGGAGGAGATTCCCCAGCAGCTCAGGGGGCTCTCAGGGTAGGTGGATCTCAGCCTGGTGTTGGTAGAAGCTAAGCTGTTACGAAAGATTCAGGACTCCTGGGTTTTATCTCCAGCTCTGGGAGGGGAATGGGGTCTAGTGGTTAGAGCAGGAGGTGGAGAGCCAGGACTCCTGGGTTCTATCCCCAGCTCTGGGAGGGAAGTCAGGGCTAGTGTTAGGGTGGAGAGTCAGGACTTCTGGGTTGTATCCCCAGCTTTGGGAGGGGAGCAGCATCTGATGGTTAGAGGAGTGGACTGGGCATCAGCATTTCTGTTCCCTGGGGGGTGACTTTGGGCATGTCCCTTCCCCATGCCTCAGTTTCGCCATCTCTAGACCAGGGCTCACGATCTTCTGTAAAGTGCTGGGCGGTGTGTGGATGAGCTGGCCTAGGGCTTAGCAAGGTGACTGATTTATTAACTCTCTGGCGTCACTCCATGTGCAGCGCCGTCCATCGACCCTGACGTGAGCGCGCAGAATTAAACCAGAGGCTGAGGTTTCCCCTGGGGTCGGGGCCTTCCTCCCACCACACATCGCCAAGTGAACCTTCCACTTCCAATGATGTGGGGAGCTGCAGCAAATCCCGCTGCTTGGGACAGCCAACCGTGGTGGGAAAATTGTTGGCGATTTTGGCAAAATCTACCAGTCATTTCTCAGGGGAGGGAACATGGGATTCTTTTGGTCATTTTTTTAATGTTCTTCATTGATGTATCGGTTTTTTTCCTTCCTACTGTTGCCATTTTTAAATGGTCGGGGTTATCGGTGGGCTCAGCATGCCTGATTTCTCATTCCTTCCTCTGCTGGCGGCCGGCTGGGTCAGCCCTTCTGCTGTTCCCTGCCCCAGTTTCCCCACTTGCATACCAGAGCGTAACAATACTAGTCTGACCATCTAAAGCGCTTGGAGGTCTGTGGATGAAACGCGCCGTCGACTAATACAGGATGTGTTTCCATTATGACTCGATTCCATCCGCGCCAGGCCCGACAGGGCCCTGATCTCGGTGGCTGGAGGGTAGGGGATGGTTTTCAGCACCCAAGAGCCATCTACAAGGTTGAAAGGGATAAAGTTCTTGCCAATGCACAATGTAAAATGAAGGGCATGGAAAAGTTCAAAAGGCACAAAATCAGCCTAGGGGTTTAAACCCAAGCGGCAGGAAGCCAGTGGCCTCCTTTGGGAGAGTCCAAAGTGTTTTCTGAAGCGTTCGATGTTTTTCCGGTAAAACCTTTGGGTTTTTCTCTGCCTTTCTCCAGGATTTTTTTTTTTTAAATTAAAACAAATTGGCTTCGTTTCTTTGCTTACGGATGGTTCATTTGTCCTGCCCCCGCCTCCTCCCTGACTCTGTTGGCTCCCAGGATGGCGTGTTGCTGAAAGACACATAACTTGTGTCGAAATGGAAAAGCCACATTTTTGGCAAAGGACATTAAAAATCAAGGGTCGATTCAGATTCAATATTAGTGGGAGGGAATCTTTGAAATGCCCAGAAATGGCCCAACAGAAGGAAACCACCTGGGGGACGTTTTGCCAAAACTGGTTTAAATTTTGAGGGGAAAAAATGATTTTTCTCCTAATTTTTTTAGCAACAACTTTTTCTTCTTTTGGACAAACCTCTGTGTCTGTCTGCGCCCCCATCCCCCCCCAGCCACCCCCATCCCCCCCATCCATCCCCAGCCACCCCTCTATCTATCTATCTATCCCCAGCCAACCCATCTATCTATCTATCTATCTATCTATCCCCATCCACCCCATCTCTCTCTCTCTCTCTCTCTTCCCCCATATGCCTCATCTCTCTGTCTGTGTGTCTCTGTCTCTGTCTCTCTGGGATATTTCCTCATCACCTATCATGGAGACCGGAGACCCTTCCACATAAAACCGTTTCAATCCTTTCAAAAACGATTTGCAAAAAATATTGATTTTTTCCTCTGCAAAACACTTTCTTGCCCCCCCTGTCATTTTTTGACCGACGTCCAATATTTTACTTCTCCTCCCTCCCTTGGTTTCCATTTAAATTTGCCTCCCCACACCTCTGTCGCTAGTTCTGATTGGCTGGATGGGTCACATGGTCAGTTTTTTTTTTTAAAAATCAACATTCCCCACAAACACAATTTTTCCATTTTGGGGGGGAGAATTTTCCCCAAAAGTACATGCAACCAATTGGATTCAAGGTCAAAGATTTGCAGAAACATTTTGCAACGTGGCCATTTGTGCAAATCCGTCACCCAGCCCCAGGGAAATGGCTGGAAAGCTGGGCTCAAAGGATGTGCTCGGTTTCAACACCAACGTTATTTTCCAAAGTGGTTTTGGGGCGTTTGACTTACATCAGTGGGAGCAACTAACTCTGAGTCTATAGAGCTCTGACAGTTAACACCAGCTATGGGCTGACTCCCGAGGTTAAAACAGAGAGTGAAAACCACTGGTCTTTGTGGCTAAGGCCCAGGAACCCAGCTGGTTCTGTGTGTGACCCTGGGCGAGTCACTGCAGCTCCTTACCTCAGTTTCCCCATCTCTAAACAGGGAAAATGATCTTTCCTTTGTCTGTTTTGTGGATTGTGAGATCTATGGGGCACGGAATGTCTCTCACTGTGTGTCTGGGCAGCGCCCGGCATGACAGGGCCCTGATCTCGGCAACTCTGTGTCTGGGCAGTGCCTGGTCCGACAGGGTCCTGATCTCAGTGACTCTGGGCAGCGCCCAGCTCGACAGAGGC